GACTCTATGAAGGAAGGCTTTATCAGCTTCTTCCGTATATAATTTCTTGAGTTATGGTCCAACTATCATGATCAAAGGTAAGGGTTGAAATGTGTATAGAACTGAAAATGGAGAACTAGCTTTCCTTACAATAGACTATTAGCAGCCTTCACATTCCCACAAACCATCATCTGCTTCATTCTACCAACAAGTTCAGTTCAGTTCAGTAGCTTTTATTTGTCCCAGTATGGGCAATTTTTGTGTAGTAGTAGTACACCTTTCACACACACGTTCACATTTCACAAATCACAGATAAAAAAACACACAAAAAAAAAACACAAGAAACATAAAATATTTAAAAAGATAAAAGTAAGGTGGATAAAAGAGAGAGAAAAATTAAAAATAAAAAGTAAATAAATATATGCAGTGCAGGGGATGAATGAGAGCATATGCGTGTAACATATGGCTATCTGCTTTTCCTGGTAGAGTTTAGCAGCCGAACAGCAGAGGGAATAAAGGAGTGTTTGTATCTGTTGGTCCAAACTGGTGGGTATTTAAATGTGATTCATTAAATGAATTGAATGAATCCCACTATCACCTGGAAGTTTGGAATAAAATCCCTTTTGTAAAAAAATCATAATTATAGAATTTATAAAATAATTATAACATTTTGTATTGCTGCATTTTTGCTATTTGTGTTACAGATTTGTTTAAAAACACATCCTCAGTTGCATACATTGTGCATCTATTTTTAATAAAGCTGGAGTATCATGAGAACATGTAAAAAAAAAATTATGGTTTGTGAAAACATTTATGTTACTTTCTCAATACTTAATTTGAGCTTTTATCTATTGTACAAATTTCTAATCCACCTTAATAGATGGATAAATAATTCCACTTGGACAGTTTTTTATGGGGCTTAATTTGGACATACTGATGCAAAACACATTCAAACTATCAAACTAAAAGGAATTCTGGTGGCATTTACATTTTTTTATGAAAAAAAGGTGTTGATAAAATGTTTCTATTTAGGCTGCAAGATCAGTAAGTAGCTCAAGACATATCCCCCCAAAAAAAGAACATGCAGGTTGAGTTTTGCCTTAACAACTTCAGCCTGCCTATTTTAAGTGATAAACAGTTGTTTTAAGCAGTTGTGTTGCTGGGTCAAGTCAGTGTTAAAAATATGACATTATGAAATTTGATTTTAGAAAGAGAATTTGAAAATGCAAGGAGGTGCATGCATGGTGACGAAGTGGATAGCGCTGTTGCCTTGAAGCGAGAAGTTTCGATTACCTGCCCAGGATCTTTCTGCATAGGGTATGCATGTTCACCCTGTGCATGTGTGTCTCCGGAAAGTCCGGCGTCCTCCCACAGTCTGAAAACATGACTGGTGACCTGTCCAGGGTGCACCCCACCTCTTGCCCATATACTGCCAGAGACAGATGTGCAACCCTGACAGAAAAAGTGAGAGAAGATGGATGGATGGATGGATGGATGGATGGATG